TTACCCCATATGCTCTCTCACACATCCCTAGTATGTTCCATTTTTATTCCTGTCGCCTTCCATAATTCTTGAATTGTTTTCGATTGAAAATTGTTACCTAAATCTGATAAGAATTTTTCAGAAAACCTGACCAGTGAGAGTATCACTATCAGCTCTTGCGCTAATTTCTCTGCATCCGTAGAAATTAGTACTACTGTTGACACATATCTAATAAAAAACACCTTATATGTGAAAAAAAGGTACGACTAATGAGTGAATATTTGCTGTAAAATTCTTATCAATGCTATAAGTGTAGCTACCAGTTTAGCCGCCAATTTTGACTTCATTTCTTTAAGTCGCATGCTGAATCCTTTTTTGGCCACATCTTTTTTTTTTTTTCACACCTAAGGGGTTTTTGATTAGATATCATGACTATTGTCAACACTCACCAACAAACCACACCAAATAAGAAAGTGACACTCGATAGTAACCAACATTGGCTTCAGGATCGTAACCCTATTATTCGGAAGAGACCTTTACTTTACAAAATCAACCAGATCCCTTAAAATATATGATGGTAGTTTCTCTACTCTACAGCAGTGTTAATATATTTTTTTTATAGTAACGTCATGGAATTTAGATTAACAGTTTCTTGTCATCACCACCATGCAATCGGTACAGCCGTATCAATCATCATTATTTATGCTAAATGCTTAAGCTAATATCACGTGACCCTAAACGCTCTCCAATTAGGATAATTTCATAACATTTAGTAAATCTGTGCTGAAAAGTTGGCATTGAATAATCAATAATAACTGTCCACCTGTATGATTCTTTTGAAAACTTGAGCTAGAAACTGCTAATCTAGTGTGCTTTGCCTAATCAATGATTATGTATCTGTATGTCCTTTCTCCTTATAGCTTTGTTGCTAAATCAGCCGTCTTTAACCCGAATGACGAATGATTAAAAACGGTTTTACTCTTAGATAGAGCTGTAGTAAAAATGTTGAACCAATAGCTCACGTGACTTTTTTTGTGCGTAGGCGTGCTCAACAACTTATGAAATTTGAGCGGTTTTTGTTGAATTTACACCAATTGAGAATCATAATTGTAGGTTGTAAAGATCTATCAGGACTCTGTTACTGTAAGTTGTCCGATAATATCGAATCTAATGGACTCTGTTACTGTAAGTGGTCCAATAATATCGAAACTAATGGACTCTGTTACTGTAAGTTGTCCAATAATATCGAAACTAATGTACTCTGTTACTGTAACTTGTCCGATAATATCGAAACTAATGGACTCTGTTACTATAAGTTGTCCAATAATATCGAAACTAACTGAAATAAAGCCATCACTAATACCTGGTAAGTTAAAGTTACCATTGGGCTTTTTACTTTCATACCCCTCTTACCAGATAGCTGACATGTTAAACAGATCTTTACATAAGTCTCTATATCTCCAAACATACCCTATTAGTAGTATTTTTTTACTGATCCTCTCTTTCGTTTTAGCTACTTTGTGTTACCACTGCTACTAGTGTATTTTCCAACCCAAACAGATTTTACTTCATTATCAAGCCAAAAATGGATGTGGGATATCCGTATGACTATTTTACCTTCAAAATCTCAACATTTTAGTGTGACTTTAGCTATTGGTACAATATACAAAGCCATTTCTGCAGTGGAGCTAAACCCAATTAGCGCTAATGTATTACCTTTGAGTTAATTATCTTTTACTAACTCGTTTCTCACCAGAGTCTTCGAACAACCATTATCTATCAACACATTTAGAACTGGCCCATTTATCATCACTTCTAAATATTTGTTTGAAATTTTATTCTTTCTGAAGTTTTCTTATTGTACCTACAAAATTTAGCTAACTTCTTAACTTGGTCACATATAAAACATTTTAGCAGGGGTTTGTAATTTCTCTTTTTAATTACAAAATCACTCCGTGGAAAGGTTTTTCTTACACTTCTCAGGAATCGCTGATTCAGTTTTATGTGTTTGTGTTTCCTCGTCACTACATATTCTTCTGCTAACGTCACTGTGTCACGTGCATTTGGTGGCTTCCTATCATTTAACCATATTACTGTGTTGGTAATTTTGTCAACATTTGCTCTTGCAACATTAAATCTACGTTCCTGTCAGTATCTCCAGTATAGTCGGATCCTCCGATCAGTTTAATTAGAAACTCATAAAGCCTTTTTTCCATTCTCTATAAATATATCATCTGCCATTTCTCTAGCTCTCTAGCTTCCTTCGATAAGCCTCTGTACTTAACTCATCCGTCTCTAAAATAACTGATTCCACTACATGTTCGTCTGTGCTCCCAGTCTTATTGCATGCTGCTAACCCCTTTCCAGGTAATGCAAGCAGGAGTTTCCTCACTATATCCTGTGGCTGCCATTATTCTGCTCTTGTAATATTTTTTTAAAGGCACAGAGAAATACACCTTTATTGCTATTGCCGCTTTCTAACTGTAGCTCTAAACTTTTTGCTCAGCTTCTACTTCCAAGTGTTTACATATTAGCAAATGCTAAATAATTACCACGATAACCTTCACGAACACCACTCGCAGTTCCCGTATTTTCACTAAACTCAAAGCTAGAAAAATGATCTATTGTTACTCCCACCTCGGAGAAAATTTCACGTACCTAGTCTTTTTCTCTAATTTCTACTATATACCTAACTCTTTACATTTATTTACCACCTGACTTTTTGTCAGTGATTTCCAATTCTCATCCAAGCTAGTGTTACTTCTCTACTCTTAAACAATGACACACATTTCATAACCAGTGATTATTAAATAAATCACCATCGTGAAAACCAAAACAGGCAAGATAATAACAGAAAGGAAAGTCACTCACTCTCCCCACGTCAGTGTTTCATCTCGTTGACTTTCCTCCTTGGCTTTTGTTAACGTAGTTCCAGCTTCAAACTCTTACTTTATTGTTGAATTTTAATTCCTAACGAATTGACAAATTCCACTTCTGACAGCACTTTGTTACGATCGTGCTATACTCGCAATTTGCTTTCCTTTCAACTTTATGTAGGTTGTATTTATTCCTATCAGGAATTGACTCATACCAGTGTAAACATAATAAGCTTCTGTTTATTACTGTTAATCAATAACACAGGGACTTAGAAACAGGTTTTGTATCTTACTGGCAACATTACTTTCTTTCTTCGCCTCTCTCAGTTTATTTGTTCTCTCTTTGACATCTACCGGTCTGTTTTTTTTCCATTGAACTCCTGTCGTTTATATTCTTTTCTTAAACCCATGGTGAACCGGTCCCTTTCTTTCTGACCTTGCACTTGTTTTCTGTATATCTGATTATAACGTTTCATAACCATAGGGGTCTTGTAGACTCCATACCGACTGAACTTAAAAAGGCGACCACTATACCTTCTTGCTCTAATAATTGTATAATGAATTAGAGCACTGAAATTCCATAATTCCTTAGAGACTGACCAAAGGCCGGTTGCTTTCTCTATCTCTCAACTTCAGCCAATGTTAAATTACACTTAACTTAATAACACTAAGGTTCAAACAAAGCAATCCCTAAGTCATACAAATATCAATTAGTGCATTTTCAGCAGCTAGAATCTTAGAATTTCCGTTCTACAGCTCGGCACTCGATAAGATATCAACTATAACATGCATACGTTATTTGTAATATCAGCCACAATAACATATATTGGTTTTAACACAATAAAATATCAGAAATTATTACTGTATAAAAAAGCCATATATCGTTAATGGATTGTGTATATTACTTTTTTACAGGTGTAAATGTGTATATATCCTAAGAAGAACAGAAGCATTAAAAAACAACAACTACAAACTATTATTTTATCTATAATCTAGTTAGAAACAAGGAAACCCCATAAGTAAAGTAAAGAAAAGAATATCAAAACAGAACATACCATTTCGTTGACTACCAATGCCAAATGCTGCTTTATTTATAAACAGAATATACACCAAACGTAGAAATAGTGGAATCTTTCTTCAGGTTATTATTTCATTGCGAATAAAAACCAAGGTGTTAACGATTTGTTTTGTTTCCTTATATCTGAGAACGTGTTATATTAATATAGTTATTTCAAAGATTTTATTATTATACCATATTTTAGTGTTTAAATGTTTGGTTACGTAGTTACAAAGAATAATGTGTTTATCTGATTATCCTGCGTACCATACTTGACCTTAAGAATGCTATTTATGACATTAGCTTCCTGGTTATGTGGCTACCTAAAGTAATGGTAATGCGGCTATCTGGATATCCTGTATATCATACTCGATTATATATATATATATGTATTCAATGTATCGTAAACGACGTATATGCGCAGCTCATAGTGAACCGGTGGACAAAATGCAATAAATGCTATACTTGATTCCTCATTTGTAACTTGTCTTATCTGTGTGACTACATAACCGTAAACGTTATAGTTTATACGCCATAGCACTCTGAAGTGAGATACCTACTACATAATTACTCTGTATACTTGCCAACATACAATCTTTATATTACTGTGGCTAGATAGATATATTTCGCTGAAAAATAATTCTGTTTTAAATTGAACTTTGATTACACATGACAGAAGAAAAGAACAACGTGGGTGAGATTAAAACCTGTCTAGATAGTGTATTAAATGTTAAACTGCCAACTGGATTTTTTTTTTCTCTCACTAGATACAGTTTATACACTAAATGCATTCACGATATCTTTCCACACACCATGTATACGTTTTCTTTACTAATTATTTTGCCTAGCCTACAACACCTATAATTTATCTGTTTTGGTATCATACTCAAGAGGTGGATGAAATTTCTAAAACTGGGCACTAGAAGGAAACTGGGATTGCAAAATCACACATATATGAATTTTATAGGATCATATATATGCATTTTATAATAACATATATAAATATATGTATTTTATAGAAACATATATAAATATATGTATTTTATAGAAACATATATAAATATATGTATTTTATAGAAACATATATGTACATATGTGCATATCATAGCAACAGTATTACTCCAAAAACGCATTTGAGTTTATATAAGAAATTTGTGAAGTTTGTAATCTATGATCCATCGTGCTTCTGCCTTTTAGACTCACGTTTCTATAGGTGATTTCTTCAAGCCTGTACCAAAACACGTGCGTCTAACAGATGAAAGCTGAATACATTGCACCAAGGAAAAGAAATGTTACGAGATTTTTGTTGTCATGGAGCAAAATTCAACATCGAGGCGTTATTTGCATCCGTAACCCTTGTTTCGGTCGGACCACCATTTCAGCAATAAGATGTATCTTGTCTCTAGGATCTAGTGACGTCAGATTGAAGTTTCGAAGAATATTCGCAATTAAAACTTTCTGCTCCATCATTGCGAACTTCTGACCTGTAATATGTTTTGAAAAAAATCTGATGATTTACAATAGTAATTTACTTACATACGTATATATAATATAACAAAACTTAAATAAATCATAATAGTCTGAACTTCATTGCACTATCACATGGAAGTTGCTTAAAGCTTTTGTTAATAGCTATGATTTTAAGTTTTTAACGTTTAAGCTGCAACTTTAATATCAAACTGAAAGTTCGTTGTTAGAAAAAAAAGAATTTTAATCCTTGACTTACCTGTTTTTAATTGTTTGTTTCTAACTGAACTATACGACCTTATCATATCAAGTAGCTTATAACTTTGTTCGTTTTTCAAATATCACGAGCTGAAAAATTTCAACTGAAGTTGCTTTGTAAGAAATCATAAACAAAAATCCATATTTAGAATGTTATTCATTTCAACGTATTTACACTGGCTTTATTTGTATTAGAGCAAGTCCACGTTTGGCTATCTGCTGTGCCTACCGCGGGAATTGAACCTCGTATTTTAGCGCTGTCCCACCCAGGAGCATTATTATTGGATCATAAATAATGAAAAAAAATTACACATGATATATTATAAAAGTGATTTCTAATATATGATTTGTAAAATTCAAACTAGTACCTATCCTAACGGATATTTACACCACTCTATACGAGTTCAAACATTAAACACATTTTTTTACACTCGAAAGAAATCTAAGTATTTTAAATAATTACTCTCATCACTATAATTTAAGAATTATTTTATCAAAAGAAAGTAGGTCCAAGGCTACTTACCAATGCAATTTCTAGGCCCAGCGGAAAAGGGAATGTAGGCGTAAGGATGACGCCCTGCTACATTTTCTGGTAGAAAACGATCCGGGTCGAAAACTTCCGGGTTTGGAAAAACTTCCGGGTTTCTGTGCAGCATGAACGTAAATATAAAGCACGTGGTTCCTTGTGGTATAGTGTGTCCATCTATTGAACAAAATGAAAATTAACTTTATTATTCAAACAGAAAAAAAGGTAGCCACAAATTAATGACATTTATATTTTAGATACTCTTAAACACTGGTTCTTAAAAAACTTAACTGTGAGACTATGAAAAGAAAACTATATCTATCACACAATAATTGTTACTGAGCGAAATGCGCCTTTGGCAGTAGATATGACGGACATAGTGTGGTTGAAATAGTATTATACACTCTTCTTCTTAAATAATCTCCATGGAACTAAGTAACGAATGTAATGTTAAAATACGTAATAGGACGTATACTATAGTCTTAGGACAAGTAAAATAATTTTTCTATCATAGTTTGTTTATAATCATAGCAAATTAAATTTGTTTTTTATCTTTGATCATCTCGTCGAAATTATTATTCATCTATAAGCGTTAGAACATGAAGGCCAGTCCCCCATTTTTAATACAGGGGCAAAACGCACTTCGATTCCCATACATTTCGGCAGGCTTACGATTTAGTAACTTAATTTGTTTGTACCTTTTCACGCTGGTTTTCATTATATCTTGCAAAACATATTCAAAATGCACGCCCCCTCGAATTTCTCTAGTTTCCGTTCGCCTCTGAGACACACACATGCTTGACCCCCCAATGACTAAGCAATAAGTCCGAAACTCATATTTTTTAAAATCTGGGTCAGAACTCAGCAAGACAAAGAAACAGATAAGCTTGATTGAAAACCAACTTTAGCTCCTCCAGACGCAGACATTTTGCTTCCGACGTCGTCTATGCATTCATCATCTCATGACTGAAACACAAATTTAATTCACAGTTTTAAAATTCATTGTTGATTCTCTCTTACACTTATAATTTTGAAACATCGAAATTACAATGTTCCTCCTCATAAATCAGACTCTAACTTTTTACATAAAAACTTTAACTTATAAAACAAATCCTAAGTAAAAATATAATATTCGCTGGCACCGAACATTCTTTAAGATATTTAAAATAATAGTAAAACCGTTGAAGCGAAACGCATTCAAACATTGTTGCTTCATTTACGAAATCGACACTAGATGGTGCTAAAGCTCGAATGTATTACGTATTCAGTGTTTTGCTTTAGCGCGAAGCTACGCAATAGGTTATTTCCTTGCTCACTTGGTTTGAATTTCGCGCAAAGCTACACGAGGGCTATCTACGCCAACCGTCCCTAATTAAACAGTGAAATATTAGAGGAAAGGCAACTAGTCATCATCACCCACCGCCAACTCTTGGGCTACTCTTTTACCAAAAAATAGTGAGATTGGCCGTCACTTATAACGCCCCCACAGCTGAATGGGCGAGTATGTTTGATGGGACGGGGATTTGAACCCACGACCAGCAGATTGTGAGTCGAGCTCCCTAACCACCTGGCCATGCCAGACCCAGGGTTATTTGCACTTCTTCTACAACGCAGTATTGAAGTCCGGATTTTAGCATTATAAGTCCGTAAACTTACCGCTGATCCACTGGAGGACTTCAAATATAAATAAGACACAATAAATAAAACGTTGGGAATAGAACATTTGTTATTATTACTTACAGTATATACTTTCCTTTAATTTATAATGGAGAGAGCTTATACAACTAAATGTCAGGAAAGTGTGACGCCAACAAGAATATCTCAGGAACTTTCAGAAAAAAAAATTATGTATCGTTCATAAAAGCTTTTATATTATATCTACATTGTGACGAAACTTCAGAGTTTCGTAAAACTTACAAAGGCATTGCAGACTCTTCCTCGTCCCGCTAATGGATGGATGTAGTTGCAGTTACAAAATTTCGTAGCAATAAAACAATAAAAACCTTCTAACTGTCACAAACAAATATTTACGAAAAAAAAAATAATACAACTAATGTTTATCAGTACGGAAACCTCTGATGGTGATACCACTTTCGGTGACCTATAACCCCAAAGTGGCTCGGCGGTAAGTCTGCAGGCTTATGACGCTAAAACGCGGGTTTTTCAATATCCATGATGGGCAGAGCACATATAGCCCATTGCGTAGCTTTGCGCTTAACAACAATCAAACCAAAATTAAACCAGTGACATGTAATAAACAAGATTAAGAGATAGTTTCAGATATAACACTTACTGACAACAATGTCTTCTTTAAGCATTCTCCCAATGAAAGGAACTGATGGGAAGAGACGCAGGCCTTCCTGAATATGAATAAAAAACATTATACACCATCGACCCATGATTACATATATGATAAAATATAGTTTAAATTAATGTTACCAAAGCGGCTTATAAAATATAAAAGATAGTAGATTTTTCTTTTGCTTTTGGTAGTACACGATGCTGGGAGGTTTTCAGTATAAATTAGTATGCTTTTAGAAAATAACAGCTACAAAAACTAGACGACATAAAAAATAATGAATGAATATAACGAATGAGACACCATCATATATTCGATATCACATATCTACATATTTAAAACAAATACGTACTTTCAATGCACAATCCAAGTACTTCATTTTCTTAATGTCCTCGATGGTGACTGGTCTTTTCTTATCGTCACCAAAGATTGAGTCTATCTCATATTGTATCTTCTGTTGAATAGTACGATCCAAACCAATGAGATATAGTGTCCAACTTATTCCCATAGCAGTTGTGTCGTGTCCCTATTAGGGAAAACAACATTGCGATAATTCTGATAAAGTTGTAAATCGGAGAGGAGTTACTAGATGAGCAGGTGAGTGAATATGTGGGTGTGTTTAGTTGAAACAGTTTTATGAGAAATTGATTGAATTATTAGATAAGTGTATAATACTTGAATAGGTTGATGAAAGAAACTGATTAGATGATTTGGTTGAGCGGGTTGGTTGGACTAAATAGCTGGATAGGTGAGTAGAGAAGTCGATGAATGTATTGAGATAAATTTAAAAACTTGATAAAATAAATTATATAGATAAGTTGTTAGGATAAAGAGTGCATCATATGCTCACAAGATAAACTAATTTAATGAGTTATCAGACTAGTTAACAAATTTGATTGAATGGGTTGATGAGAGAAATTAGATGGATGAGTAGGCAGATCGGTGAATGCGCTTGACTGAGTCGTTGAACTAGTTGAATGATTTATCAAATTAGTGAATATATTATATAATGATAAAAGAAATTTGTTGAATAAGCTAGTAAGTTGGTTAATGTATTTGATTGAGCAGGTTGATGGCGGGAACTAGATGGATGAGTTGGCAGGTTGGTGAGTGTATTTGTTTGAGCAAGTTGATGGCGGGAACTAGGTGGATGAGTTGGCAGGTTGGTGAGTGTATTTGTTTGAGCAGGTTGATGGCGGGAACTAGATGGATGAGTTGGCAGGTTGGTGAGTGTATTTGTTTGAGCAGGTTGATGGCGGGAACTAGATGGATGCGTTGGCAGGTTGGTGACTGTATTTGTTTGAGCAAGTTGATGGTGGGAACTAGATGGATGAGTTGGCAGGTTGGTGACTGTATTTGTTTGAGCAGGTTGATGGCGGGCACTAGGTGAATGAGTTGACAAGTCGATAAATGCATTTTATTATGTATGTTGACAAGAGAAACAAGTTGTACGAGTTGGTAGATTGATAAGTACATCTGGTGTGAATAGAGTGATTGGAAAACTAAATGGATGTGTAGGTATTTCGGTTGGAGCATTTGGTGAACTAAACTGATAGAAAGTTCTAGTTGAATAAGGATGTATTTGGCTTGATGTACTTAGAAGGGTCGACTTTATGAGTATATAAAGAAAGAAACAAACAGAAAATATAAAGGAAGGTGGCACTGAAGTTCTGCATTGTTATTACCTCAAACATGAATGTGTCTACCTCTTCACGAATATCTTCTAAAGAAAGGCTCGGATCATTTAAGTGGTGATTAATTAAAAGATCTAAAAATGCCTGTCGCCTTTTCGATTTTCCCACGCCATTTTCACCAGTGTTCTCTTCTTTTTCATTGGCTGCTTGGCTGTTTAACATCTTGGCCTTGCGGTTACTAATAACCTGTAAAACAACAATTTTCTGTTAAGTTTAACACAAGTCATAACTGGTATTTTTTTACAAAGCTCTTTCTTTTATTTAGTAGTTTACGTCAAATACTCCTACGTATGCTTTGGAAGCTTGAGAAAATGTTATAATACATAAAAGAAGGAATCACGGTAAATCTTACTGTTCGATTAGGGTAGACAAGAATTGTCGTTGTCGCAAAATTCAACAAAGAAATAAAACTGTTCTAATTTTTATTAACACCTTTATCTTTAACATTAATAAATTATATTTTTTGGGGGTGGAGAAAAGTGTGCTAAACAACTGCCATTTTTGGTTTAGAGCATTTAGAATATGCACCATATGATAGAAAATACAAACAGCAATAGAGACTTCGCTCGGCACTCAATAAATTCATCAGTAATACATTTTTAATCATCATTTGTTCGTTCCATATAATCATTGAAAAATCATGGAGATAATTTAGTAAACTGTTTTTTTTTATTCTATTAATATTAAATAAATCTTGAATTTTACGTACCCATCTAGTAAAATTATGAAGATCTGTTAAACTTTTATAAAAACGGCGTCCGTATGAAGATAATGAGAAGAAAATCGTAGGCCAAAGCCACGGTCTCATCATGCGAGCCATGAACATTTCACCAACCCTGAAAAATATGTAAATATTAAAATAAAAAATGTAGTATAATAACGAAATAGATAAACAAAGAAGAAATGAAAGTTATCTTCTGGATATACGGTACAATTTTTAAATTTGAAGTGAATTAAATTCTGGTGAACCAGTTGAATTCATTATATACTGTAGGTTAGCATAAGTCGCTAGTTTCGTTATTATGTTGTGTGGATTAAACTCAAAAAACGGGTTTTTAACATATTGCCGTATAACGAGTTTAGAAGTTACATTATCCGATAATAGATGGAGTTAAAAGTATCCATCACATAGATACGCTGTATATCGTGGAATATATTTGAAATTACACACAAATTACTCTACATTTTCTTTTTGTTTGAGTTTTTCTAAAAGTACACCTACTTAATCAAAGATTTATCATTAAAAGCTTTTATTTTATTTTATTCATGACTATGGTAACCTGTTAGAGAAATCTGGATAGCTAAGCTATATTTGCTTGTTGAAAAGAAGATTCAGAATGGAGATGACACATGATGTCATGTTAAAGCGCACATCATTTCATTATAGTGACATGAAATAAATTTTTTAGTCATTCAATAGTAATAGCAGTACATCGTCGACAAAGTACAAATTTGATACAGCTTATATCTTTTTTTGTATACAATAAACCAGAAAATTAAAAGGTACAAACGTACAGTATAGTATGAAAAAGTATGAAAGTATGAAAAAACACTTTTACCTCTTTCAACATAATGTTAGAGTAAAATCCGCTTTTATTGAAGTTCATGTTGTTTCCTTTAGAAAAAACTAAATTTAGTTCAAGCTTTAGTTTAGCTAAAGTTAACTTTAAGTTGTCACCCGGTGGAAGTCAACCCTGCAATAACAAGCGTTGCCAAACCTATAATAATCATGCAGAAGACTGACAATTTTTCTGATAAAGACAGCTTAAAACATCTTTGTAATTATTATTATTACTATTATTTTGCTATTAGTATTATCCATACTTTTAATCATGTTTTTGTTTCATTATATTGGTATTATTTCCTATATATTGCTTTACATTATCACTGTCTCTAATCCCCATTTTTATTTGTATTTTATTTTTCTATCCAATTAAAACTGTTTTAACATCTTTTTTAATTATCATCGCTCTTACGTCTTTCATGTAATGTACCCAATTCTTTTGTACAAACTAAGCCTGACACCAACGTCCTCAGTTATGATTGGCTAGTTTCAAAGGTCAACTCATCCGGCTTACGTGATGTCGATATCAGTATTTATATATTACATTACACCCACTAATTGGCACCTTTTATTCTCCTGAAGAAGAATAGTCAACTATTCGAAAGCGCTAGAGTTTTGGGTCTTTCTTTCGAAATTCATTGCACCTTTTGTTTGTGATCTTGTGTGCTAACTCTTTTATCAGGACTGAGGAATGCATAGGTTATATTGAATATATTGATATTGAATAGAGTCGTACGGCCTTTTGTGGGTACAGGATAATGGCTTTGTCATGCTTTCAAAATTGAGATGATCTGCTAATCTTGAACAAGAAAAACTAATATTCAAATTCAGGTCGAGACATTGATTGCATACTTTCTGTAATATATCAAGTCATAGCATCAGTATCATTGACTGAGGTTTACGATTAATGCTGATAAATACCAAGCCACAATCCTTCAGATACTATTAGTAGATGTGCAAGGAATCTTATGGTGAGAGTCATCCTTCCTTTACTATGATAATGCAAGATGTCATAACGAATGTTGTATATAACAATAGTTTAATACGAATTACGCCCAGAATCTTGCATTGACCAGCCCCACAGCACCGACCAGCATCCAACTGAATCACTATAAGGTATTTTAGGATGTCGTTTGAGAGACTTATAGAACATATCCTAAAATCTTACTACATTTGAAGATGTTTTGCAAGAGGAGTCCGGGTCTATTCCATCATGTGTGTACTCATGTTTGAAAGTAGTTAACACAAAAATAGGTTTACATTTTGCCAATATGGGGTCATAGTGACGAAGTATGACAGTTCTTCTCATGGTATGTTGTCCGAGTATGAGGACTGCCAATTGGCTGTAAATGTACGGACTGTCAGTACAATAAAATCACATTTTAAAACAGCCCGTAAGCCAGTAATATCAAATGACGTTATCATTTATTGATGCCAGTAAAAAATACACTACAAGTAAAAAAAAAAAAAAGAAGACTAATGTTTGTCTCCATGTCAATAAAAACAATATTGTAAGATTGGCAACCCTGACTAATACCTTTGTTAAAGCAGCGTTTATACAGAAAAGGACTTACTCGTATACAGCCTTCACATACGGCGAATCTTTACTGCTTTGTGCATGAATCTTTATTCCCATAGCACTTTCTGAAAATATAAAAAGGTCCAGGAATTATTAAATGAGTTAGATATTTTTCCTTACATATTAGTTGTTTGAAAAAAAAATGGTTAAAGTAATTTAACTTTTTATCTAGTTTTATTGCTTTTATTTTATTAATATTTTCGTTCTGTGGTTAAAATCTGAAACATTAAGCTTGCATTAAGTAACTAAACAGACATCACGACAAGCCAAAGATCATAGGTGGTATCTGATGTGTCCATTTCAAATTGGGAAATATTACATATGAATGGTTACATCTGTATGTTGATTAATATTCTACTTAATCATGATGGTCTTGGGATAGCGTGGTAGTTAAGGGGCTCGATTCGCAATGTGCGAGTCACAAGATGGAAACTCGTCGCCGAACATCCTGTCTTTTCAACCGTGGGAGCAGTATAATGTGACGGAAGATCCCACTATTCGTTTGTAAAGAGTATCCTAAGAATTGGCGGTGTGTAATGTTGACTAGATGCCTTCCATAATTGCTTCTAGATTACCTTTGCGTGAAATTCAACAAACAACAGTTAGGGCAAAAATTGGTTTAGTTAAAATATCAGTATCGAGCCCACCTAAAATTTATAAATGAGCGACCAGTGTTCGTGTATTTTTTGTACAAAATCTTACTACATTACGTAAAGTGTAAGTAATTTTGATATTAAAAAATGGGGCGCATTTTACTTCTGCGGTCACAATACCTAAATGTCGTCAGTGTTGAGATTTATATTTTGAGATTTATTAGCTCTCATCCTTTTGATTAGGTAGACGGTAATGAATGAGACTCCATTAATTAACTTTACTTGATTTGGAGATTATACTGATATATATCGATCTTTGTTTTGGATGACCAGAAGACTCGAACTTTCTGAGAAATAAAAAAAAAACGCCGATGTAATTTGTAATATACAGGTAATCCAGTTATAGCAGATAACTCGTCAAAAAGATTTAAGATATAGCATAGTAATTTTTTTAATTTATCTATTCCTGGCAATTAAAACTCGTAATCTATCCCAAAACAAAGGATATTGCGCTTATGCCTACCTGTAGCATCATACTGGTACTATAGTTTACATTTTACACGAGAATAGAAACATATCGTAACCTTTACTTAGCCTATACAGTAGCATTAATTGGGCATTTAAACAATGATGCAATATCACTTTATTGTGTTAAGGTTTTGTTGTTGTTTTTTTTACAAGTTATCCAATAGTCGCTTATCTAATCAATACATAAGTTGAATTATCAGAGGATTTTGCGGCTTTTTTTCAATTTTTTAATTTCCTTCCCGGTTTCTATTGGGCCAGTGATATTCTCACGCTCCAGAAGAAATACCCCCCCCCCCCACCCAGTGGCACAGCGGGATGTCTGCGAAGTTACAATGCTATAAGCCGGGTTTCATTACAGTGTAGTTTGTGCTTAATTACAACAAACAAATCAAAATAATATTTCAACATTTTTGAGATGCTTCGCTAAACAGAAACGTCAGAATTACATTCTAGTACAGTAGTACTTGATAATTATTTCTCTCGTTCTGGAGACTCATTAACCGTTCTATCACGCATTGGCTCCAGAAGCAAATGTGTTCATGGTAGGAGGGAGAGGTTAAAGGATGCTAAAATATTGCAAACTTAAATATTAAACATATTTTAGCATTAACTAACTGAAGCATTTATGAGCCCCCTGTCCACAGTGGCACAGCGGTATTATATCAGGATTTATACTGCTAGAAACCGGGTTTCGATACCTGTGGTGGGCAGAGCACAGATGACCCTTTGTGTAGCTTTGTGCCTAACAAACAACAACAACAATGAGCCCCCTCTCCAGTGGCTCAGCGATAAGTCTATAGGCTTACGTCACTAAAAACCGGGTATCGTTACCAGTGGTGAACACAGAACAGGTAGCTCGTTGTGTAGTTTTGTGCTTAACAAAACCGAACCGAAACATTTGTGAATTATTAGGATTAAAAAATTATCTTAATGCTTTGCTTTCTACCTGATAATATACTTCTGTATCAGTTATCTACTTAATTAAACACGGCCCTAAAAGCCCACGTCTATGTACAGTGAAGTAGCTATGGTAAGTTTGTCAGGATTTATGATCTAAAATTAATCTTGCCGTTCTTCACAAAAGAAATTACAGTGTTAGAAAATAGAACGTAATCATATCTATTATAGTGAACACGGTCGACAATGGAATAACTAGCTCCAAGGAGACGCAGAAAACCTGGAAAACCGTGCCATTAAATACTCAGTACTAATATTAGATATATATATATATATATTATCTTGTTATCACGTTACTTACTTTATAAAAACGGGCCCGGCGTGGCCAGGTGGTTAAGACACTCGACTCGCAATCTTAGGGTCGCGGGTTCGAATCCCCGTCACACCAAACATGCTCGCCCTTTCAGCCGTGACGGTCAATCCCACTATTCGTTGGTAAAAGAGTAGCCCAAGAGTTGGCGGTGGGTGGTGATGACTAGCTGCCTTCCCTCTAGTCTTACACTGCTAAATTAGGGACGGCTAGCGCAGATAGCCCTCGTGTAGCTTTGCACGAAATTCAAAACAAACTTTATAAAAACTACCCGCCTAAGAATCCTGAGGCCTGAAGTATTTGTGGAATACAAATACCAAGTATATACACAGTTCATGGCTTCTAAGAAGTACATTTTTTTAAAGATATATATAACATATAGTATGGAGAAAGCAGCAGATCGAAAATGTTATAAGAAAAACATGGACACTAGTGAGTCACGATACCAAGTAAGGAAGATACAGGCTTAAAGCCCATCACAGGAGATAGCCCAGGACATTCCAGTCGTGACTTCAGAGGTGCAAGTATTCACAGCTACTAATTCTCGCACCAGACAGACGTGGTATGTTGAGAAAACCACAGTAGTTAGATAAAACACGCGACGAAATGAACCAATGCCACAAATAAAGCAGTTAACAGGATGACGATGAAAGACAAGGGTGAAATACTCTTAGTGAAGAAAAACCAGAGTTACATGCTTTGTCTCTATACGTCCTAAGTTAATTGCCTTGGATAATTTTGCCCAAGATATTTGATAAGGACAGAAATAAGTTCTGTAAGGACCAATAACAAAGTAGATTGTGGTTACAGTCTGATGGAATAGCCCATTTGTAACTGAAAGATCTCACTTGTACCAATCGAGTTAAAAGAACTACTTTTGAAAGTAGATCTGCTAAACTTCTTGAAGAATCAGAAAAACACTCAAAATTGCGTATATAATTCCGTGTTTCCGACTCCAAACATCGACTTCTTCTCACTTATCAAGTCGCTTCAGAAGAAGATGGCAGTAATCCAGAATCTACAAGAAGTTCGCCACACAAACTTCTTGTAAGTATGCTATTTCTGATGTAGTCTAACAGTGTTTCACTTAAGGTCCAGTAATGTATTGATTAGGTCGTCAAGAAATTTATGTCACGTTTTGGAACACTTTCTTTAACCAACCCTCAAAAATCATACGTCACGCATAATAGTTAAACGTCACGTTAGTGTAGCCTATATAATGTGTAAAGTTTAATATACTCTAATCCCTTATAGTGATGGCACACAACGAGACACACATTCGGCATGTAATACTGTTTGAATA